AAACACCAGAACATATAAATACATATTTTGAAAGTGATCATTTTATTGCAGTAAAGTTTCTTTTTGAAAAATTTGAATCACTAACTTCTTTGTCATCTTTATCAATAACACAAAAAGAATTTGGCTGCATGCGAGATCATCTGTTTTCTGTGATTCATTTTGAAAACGGTCACAGGTCAGGTGTGAGTACCAATCTCATGATTGAAGAGTTTAATGCAGCCAAACTTGTTGGTGATTTTTCTGAAATGTAAACATAAATTAATTAATTTACATATCAAGCCGTTATTACTTTAAGTCCAATTGAGTTTAAATGGTTGCATGTTCTTGTTAAAAAAGTACGACCACTTGTTAAAACTTCAGTTAGAAGAGTTTTCATTTCTCTTTCCAGAATGAAACGGATTCTGGTCAAATAAGCGGGAGACTAAATTCCCTTTCGATTTAATCTTGAATTTTCAAAAAGAATTTAATAACAAGGCAACTGTCTTGTAATCTTATAAGGAAAGCAACAGCTACTCGTATAAGTAATGAAAATCTTAGACATTAAAAGGAAGTAGCTAATTTAATGAGCCGTGACTTATTAACAGCTGAAAACAGTTATGTTGTTCAAAAAAAAAAAAAGGTGCTGCAGTTGTAGGGGAGATTGTTAGGCAGTATTCTTACAACAAATTACCAACATCTCCGAGACACAATTGGACTCCTGAAGAAATAAAGTTATTTTATAATACTTTTGATGAAAATAATTTCAACGGTTTAACAATAGGAAATCTTCTGAAAACAGTCCGTATCGAAGAAGTGGTGTCGCTGATTCTGGAGCTTCTACATCATCAAGAAAGTTTACTGGTGTGGCGTCCTCTTCTGTCGAGCCAGTGTCAGTTAGGCATCTCGTCCATAGTGAAAGTCTTGGTTCTAAAATCGTGCAGTTTAGATTTCCACGTTAACTTCCACGTTATCTTCAACATTTCTAGTGCCGGACTTGATGAGGCTTTGGAAGCGTTTCTCTTGGACACTAGCATCCCTCGAGCTCTTGAACCAACATGTCTTGAGATGTCCTTCTTGTCCCCTCGATTTGGTGACATTGTGTGCAGCTCTGCCCATTTTGGCTGCAAAAGAGCCCAGCCGCATGGCCATGTCCTTCTCAGAACCTTGTGCGACAAAGCCGGAAGATGCGCCTGGACACTTCGAATGGTTATTAGGTCTTATTTTAAACACATTAGTGATTGGGAGAACTGTTACCGATGCGGTAAAGCTAAAGAGACTGGGGACACCTCCAAATGCGACTCCTGTGGATCTGGAATCACACTCATCGATGTCAAGAACGACGAGCACCTCGAAGGGGTCAAGGTCAACATTGAGCGTCATTCAACGGCCCCAACGGTATCGGCAACGCCTATTGAGCCCTGTTCCAAGCATGTCGAGCAAGATATCCTGTGTCTCACCTGTAAAAAAGTTTATCAAAGCTCCTTTACCGATTGATTTGGATGAAGAAAGTAATCCTTGGTATCCCCCGAGACGTGTTTGTCAACCTGAAAAGAAAGTGTTTAAGAGTGGTAAACAATTATTCCATGAATATATTGTGTCGAAACGTATAAATAATTCTATTCAATATTCCGAAATGATAGCTGTTGATGAAAAGCTTTGTCAGTTAGCTCGACTTATTCCTGCTAATAGTATTGAAGCTGTTAAAAAAGTTGCTTTTGCTGAAACCTTTGTTAATGTTCATCCCCCCAGTATTGGTGATCGTTGTCATAAGTATATTAGTGTCGATGGTCATTTTTGTTTATGTCTTGGTGTTTTTAAATGTTTATACTGTCCTGTTAATCATAAGCGTATTGCTGCTTTGTCTACCGCATTCAAGCATTTTCCTCTGTTGCTAAAGAAAATTTTGTTGAATTACGTGAATTGTTAAATGTGTTGTTCTGTCCGTTGACTCTTACTGAAGTTGGTAAAAAGAATAGTATTGTTTTAAATGGTGCCTCTAATTCTGGTAAATCTACCATTATTGATACCGTATTAGCAAATTATGAGTCGTGGGAAGTTGGTAATGTTACTATGCCATCTAATTCTAATGTTAGTACGTTTTGATTGGAGGATCTAGTGTCTAAATTTATCTATCGTATTGAAGAAATGGTTATAGTTGATGAGAATGTTTGTAACATTGTTAAAAATCTACTTGAAGGTCATTCAAATTTGAAGACACAGATTAAATATGGTCCGTTCGTACCCTTACCTAAACGTCCTGTTTATGTTACCATGAATGGTTGTCGTAAGCAAGATGTTGTGATTTTCGATGAATAAAATTTCAATAAAAGATAATGTTAAAAAAAGTAGAAAATTTACCATCGTCTATATCATGTAGACAAATTTATGATAAAGTAAAAAGCCTTATAAGGCATTCACCTAAAAGAAAAGTATAAAGTTTTTTTTTTTTTTTGAACTATTATGAAATTTCAAGTGCATAATTATATAGAAGTAGAAAAATCACTTTTTTTATTTAAATCTTAGAATGAATATACTGAATATTATTATTAGATAAACGTTTGCTCTTTACCATTATCGAATGATTTGTTACCATCGGTGACAACTGCAGAAATCAAAACCAACAAAGAAAAAAACACAAATAGTTGTAAAATGGAACAAGTCAATTTAAGTTGCTATGTTGAAAACTCATATAAAGGTGTAAACTTTTGCTTACCTGCCATATGCATTTTAACCATTAAATTATTTTTTCTTTTTTTTTAATTTCACCAATTTTTTTTAAATCCACTGGTTTAAACTTATAGGAATTGTTGTTTGGAAAAAGAAAAAGAAAACGTCTTTTTCCAAGTAACGAATCGGATATTCTTCAAATTTTGTTATTTACAGTTTTTAATATTTGCAGTTGGATTGCATGTAGGCATTTTCAGAGGATAAACATTCAGTACAACAATTTTAATTAACGTTTATTTGTAATCTTTTGTTGTTCTGAAATAAAAATTTCTTTAGAAACTGTTAAAAAAGCTGTTGATAATCATATAACTATTTTGTGTTTGCCAGCACACTGTTCGCATTTGATTCAGCCACTTGATGTAGGAGTCTTTCGCCAAGTTAAACATGTATGGCGTGAAATTCTGGCTAATTGGTATACCGAGTCAAGGCTGAAGGTGGTTGGAAAATCTGTTTTTCCATCTTAAGTAAAAAAAATTTATGATACCTCCTTTAAGCCAGATCATTAAGTATAATCGTTTGCAAAAATTGGAATTTTTACCTTTGATCTGCTTTAGCATCTGACAAGTTTAATCCTTCTGAAATCTATGAACGCCCTTTTTCTCAGAAAACAAATAATTATGATAATAATGTCCCTCAAAACATCGTTTTAGACACCAATGTCAATGATCAAAACGATACTTGTGAAAACTTTTTTATTGAATCAACAAATAAATACAATTCACAAAAAAATATAATATCAGTAGGAAAAGACTTAAACAATAAAAAAATAAATCAATTATCAATATCAAACGTAGATTGTTTTACTAGAAATAAAATCATAAGAGAAATAGTGAAAGAACAGTTAATGGCCACAACGTTTGATGCTCGTTCATACAACAAACGACCTACAAAAAAAATAAAAAGACGTTATGGAGGTGAGTGTTTTACATCAGAAGATGCATTTAAAAGATTAAACGATGAAGAAAATAAATGCTTTAAAAAAAAGATCAAGCAGCAAGGCGAAATACAAAATAAAAAAACTAATTTATCAGAAATAACAAACACAAAAGAGTTAAAGATGAAGTGAACTAGTGGACATAATTTTTTTTAATATATATTTAATATTGTAATAATAATTTTAAATCTTAGTATTTTGTTTTACATTGTACCTAATACTTTAAATGGTATAAATTTTGAAAACTCAAAATGTTTTGGCTTTTATTTTGAAAATATTTCCTTTAAATATCAAAAACAGTTCACTTTACCCCAGTTTACACTACCAGTTTGAAAAAAATCCTTCAGTTGGCACTCGTTAATGTTTTACCGATTTATTCAGTCAATATATGAACACTCCCTATATGTTCTATCATTTAGTGAGTTGATGTATATACAATCCCATCAATAAAACAAAATAAAAAATAACTTTTTAAATACCATGTAAACCAATAAAATGAAAAACTCATCATTAGTTTAAATATTTCTATTCATAGTTATTGCTTTTTTTTAAAAATGATAAAATTTTATTTAACTAGTCGCTTTTGTAACTAATTAGTTTTGAAATTTAAGCGACTATATTAAGCCACTGAATAGTTTCTGCTTACAATGAATATATATATATATATATATATATATATATATATATATATATATATATATATATATATATATATATATATATATATATATATATATATATATATATATATATTTATATATATATATATATATATATATATGTAAAGTGTGTTCAAAACCTAAGGTGACTTTTCAAATTTCGCGGGCAACGCACTTTCGATTATTAATTTTTTTTGTTTTGTCATGTTGGTACACTCATCCCGAACATCTGTACCAAGTTTCAAGTGTATAGCATTTTTTGTTCGGTTGTGAGAGGCGTAAAAGTTATAAGTGTTTTGCGTATTCGGCGATTTTTTGCTGTTAAAAAATATGGATCAAAGGATTTGCATCAAATTTTTCGTAAAGAATAAAATAAAGTGCACCAAAACACTTGAAATGTTGACAGTGGCATACGGTGAAACTGTTCTAAGTAAAAAAAAATGTTTACAGACTCTTTCAAGATGGCTGGAAAGATACCAATGACGAACCTTGCTCTGGACGCTCAACCACGTCAACAACTGATGAAAACGTTCAAGCAGTGAAGAAAATTGTTTTGGCAAATCACTATTAGAGAAGTTGCTGAGGATGTTGGTATATCGCTTGGCTCGTGCCATGAAATTTTTTCTAACGTTTTGGACATAAGAAGTGTGTCAGCGAAGTTTGTTCCGAAATTGCTCAATTTTGACCAAAAGAACCGTCACATGAGCATCGCTAAAGGACTGTTGAATGACATCAACGACGACCCAGATTTAATCAAAAATGTCATAACTGGTGACGAATCATGGATATATGGTCATGATATTGAAACCAAAGCCCAATTGACCCAATGGAATAGCCCAGGTGAGCCAAGACCGAAAAAGCTCGCCAAGTTCAATCAAATGTCAAAGTTTTGCTCACTGTTTTTTTTTGATTACCATGGCGTGGTGCATCAGGAGTTCTTACCATATGGTTGTACGGTCAATAAACAGTATTATCTTGAAGTTATGCGCCAATTGCGAGAAGCAATACGAAGAAAACGTCCAGAATTGTGGAAAAACAATTCACGGCTTTTGCATTACGATAATGCTCACTCATTTTTGCTTGTGAGAGATTTTTTGGCCAAAAATAACACCACAATCATGCCTCAGCCAATTACATGATGTTAATTTTCCAAAATCTACTGTAAATAAAAAACCAAAAGCTATATTTTTTCCATGGATCACAAAGGATCTCAAAAAAGTTATGAATTAAATATTTGAAAACCAAAACAGAGGAAACTAAAATTCTTCATAAAAATAAAACCAAAATTTTTGAAAGAAAAAGGAAAAATTAAAAAAAATGTACTACTCTAATTTACTTGAGATAAACAAGAATAACTCAAAATGCACCTGATAAGAGAACTTACCGACACGCGGATTACGAAAACGTGCTCCCAAACCAAAACATTAAAAACTAATGATTATTTTTCCAACTGTAATCCAGCTGTGATATGCGATGAGTTAAACAAATATTTTGTATCAGTTGGTCCAACTTTAGCCAAAAATAATCCTTTTGCGATTAACAAAATAGATGCATACAATTTTCCGATATCGTCAACCTTAACATCTTATGAACTTTCCTTTGAAGAATTCGAAAAATCCTTGAAAATGCTTAAAATAAATAATAGTATAAATAAAAAATAAAATAGTAATGTTGTCATCGGCTCGTACGAACCCTTAAAAGATGTACTATTTAAAGTTTTTCATTGTTTAATAAAACAGGGAATATTTCCACGTCATTTTAATATAGCTAAGGTCACTACGGGTTTTAAGATAGGTAATCCAACCAATGTTATAAATTATCGCCCGATTTCTGTTCTTTCTGTTTTTTCTAAAGTTTTAGAAATAACTTTATTTAACATTATTTATAATCACCTTTTCTTATATAATATCCTATATATCAATCAATACGGGTTCAAAAAAAAAAAAAAACTCGATAGACAGATAATACTACAAATTACTCGCAGTATAGCTGAATCTTTTCAAAAGTCCCATTATCTGTTGGGAATTTTCATAGATTTATCAAAAGCGTCTGACACTATTGATCATCGAATTCTTCTTTAAAAAAAATAGAATACTATAGAATTAGAGGGAATGTTTTTGAACACCCAAAAAGTTTCTTTATAGTAATGAAACTGGTACAACTAATTTATTAAACATAACTTTGGGAATTCCAAGGTTCTATACTCAGACCGCTTCTTTTTTTAATCTACATCAAAAATCTCCCTAAAGCGTCAAATTTAATGACTGTCATGTTTGCTGATGACACTAATCTCTTTTTATCGGATTTAATGTATTCTAACATTATTTTAAACTATGAACATTGAATTAGAGAAAATTTTTGAATGGTTCAAAATGAATAAATTATGACTAAATGTGTATAAAATAAAATGGTCACTCTTTCATCCGACTTCTAACAAGAAACTACTGCCTCCTAACTTGTCCTTATTTTTATAGACAAAGTTCAAATAAAAAGAGAAATAAGTACTAACTTTTGAGGTGTCTAGGTTGATGAAAACCTTACCTGCAAATATCACACTAATTTTTTTACAATAAAATTGCTAAAAGTATAGGAGTAATGTAGAAGGGTAGAAATGTTTTAAATAAACAAAGCTTAACACAATTATATTTTTCTTTTATTCATTATCATTTAAACTATGCAAATATTGCTTGGTGTAGTGCCAATAAAAGTAAACTAAAACCTCTTTATCGTCAGCAGAAGCGGGTTATGGCGACATTTATCTTTATATTCAATTTCATTCATTTAATATATTAATTCAAAGAATTATGTAAAAATAAGTTTATAACCAGTTTTTACTTGCTTATAACTAGTGGTGTATAATAATTGCTTATAACCAGTGGTGCATAACAATTGCTTATAACCAGTGGGGCATAACAATTGGTTTGTAACCAGTGGTGCATAACAATTGGTTTATAACCAGTGGTGCATAACAATTGGTTTACTTGCTTTTAACCAGTGGTGCATAACAATTGGTTTATAAATCTTACGCTCGAAACGACAAATTTAAATTGATCTTTTTTGCAGTATTATGTTACCTTACGTGCTTTTAGTATTGTTTTTCTTGAGAGCAACAATTGTTGATGTAAGCAAAGGAATACCATTAAGTTGTAATGGGTCTCGGCCGGCGGTGAAAATTAATGGTATTACTGTTAGAAGCCAAGCATGTGATACAAAATCAAAGAGAAGTTTTTCCGGCTGCAACAAGGAAACGTTGCAAAATTCAATATTGGGTGCATGTCCAACTACAGTGGTAAGCAAAATATTTTTAATATTTCTGATAACGAGGATATTATTTAAAAAAAAAATATTTTCCCGTTTTACTCAACGTAAACTTTGTGGTTTACATAATTTTGAAATGTTTTATAGTTATCCGTTTAGGTAGTACCCCAAGAAATAAATTAAACTCTTTTTAATAGGAACTAGAGCACACTTTCATTTTTACAATATAAATACATAGTTTAAAATATTTTTCCAAAATGCTAGCAAACTTGAAAATTTTTGCCTCGATAACCCCAAAAAATAAAAAACAACTGAATTTTTGTGAAGTAGTTACTCAAAATCTACTGGTCATTTTAGCATGAAATTTGGAACAATTTTTATTCATGGTAACATAACTAATTTGAGAGAAAATAAATGAAAACAAATTAATATTTTAAAAATTACGCATGAAACACTAAAAAGTAAGCGAGTTTAACAACACTAAAATAACAAAATTTCAAGATCTAAAATGCATTGAAAAAAATTCTTTTCTCAAATAATTTTAATATGGAAAACAATCTGTGAAAGTTTTAGCACTTTTGCATATTTGTTTAAAAAGTTACTATTTCACAAACTATATATCGATGGTTAAGAGCACAAAGGGAATACGTCCACTAACCATTGTTTTGAGAAATCTGAATTTGAAAGTTTGAAAACATACAATAATTCATTATATTTATTATATATCACCTATTTGTTTTATTAAATACCTTCCGATTGGTCAACTGTTGAAGCCATAGTACCCATATCACTTACTGAATGGCGCTCGCGCAATAACTCAAAACCGTAAAATGTTGGACATATTCCCTTTGTGCTCTTAACCATCGGTATTATATATTGATTGCTATGTTATGGACATTACAAACTATTTGGTTGATAAATAAACCCAAATTATTATTACTCAAAGTTAAAGTTTTGCATTAAAAGTTTTTGTATTCTGTGAACAAAGAAATAATGAACTAAATTTATATATATGTATATTTTTTCAAAATTGACTTTTTTTTTCTTGGGGTACCACCTTAATTAAAGTTATAATCTCATTAAAAACAATTTTTTTTTTCACCGTATATGTTTTTTGAGGTTTTTAAAATTTAGTTGTGAGCTTTATTTTAATTAAAAATTAAAAATTTAGTTTAACCTGGCATTGTTGTATAGTATCTTGCTTCGTTAAATTTAATCAAGTGGATTTAATTTATTTAATTCGAATGAAATAAATCATACAAAAATTATTTCTCTCTATTTGGCAATTAAAAATAAGAAAACCAAACAAAGTTCAACTAAATCAACTTTAATTGATTTTTTTTTAGACTTATCGTTAAATTAAGCTTGAAAAACTTGTAGCAAATTTAAATTCGTTGAAACACTTAGTGAGTTTTCTCAATCAATTAAAATTTAAAACACTTTTCTTTTAATGCACTTTCTCGTCAAATAATAGTTTGCAAACAATTAATTAAACTAGTGTTGATGTCTTGTTTTGTTATTGTATAAGATGTATATTTTGTTATTGTATTATTGTCTAAACGATAACCTCTTTCTCCGTTCATCAAAGCATTATAAGTCTCTTGTAAAAATGTTTGATATTCAGGTGTTTCATCTTCATCAACATTTAATGCTCTTATGATTGCATTAGGATCGTTAGATTTCATAAGATTACTTGTTTCATCCCAACTTGCTCTCTTATTTGTTTTTTCTGTCATTGCTAAATTATGATTAAATATCACATGCAAATAAATTATGATCAACACATTCATTATATAATGACTTACAAGCAGTACGGCCACACCAATCGCAATGTGTAACCGATACCAACGCTAGCAACATCAAAAACATTTTAATGTTAAATTAAACCACGCCTTATATACCTTTATAATCGGATTAATAAGCAACAGTAATACGAAACATTTATAAATTCATTATCGACCTACCATCCTTCCAACTATATAACTATGAGATATTTTGTCATTATTGTGTTAATAGAAACCATCCCACCGACCACGTGGGATCCCTCCGGATCCCATCAAGGCGGTGGCGGAGGCGGGGGTGTGTCAAGGGTTGGTTGGGATGGTAGGTTGGAGAGGAATTTATAAATGTTTCGTATTACTGTCAATATTAACAATAGCCTTAATCTCCTATTGTAAAAGGATAATCTTTTTGTTTTTTTCTCTATTATTTACCATAGAAACGTCAATCATTTTTTTATAATAAAAACCAAACTTAATTTTAATAAAGCAGTTATGAGTTTAGAAAGCGAAGATACAAGTGTAAATTTTTATCAAGACAAAGATTATAATAACGAAATATATTGGGAATGCCTAATTTCAAAAAAAGTTAGCAGAGAAAAGGAAAGAGCCGTCAAGCGACGTATTGATGTTGAGTCCCCTACCATCAAGCGAAAATTACGATACATCGAGGAACAACTCAACAAAGGACATAATGAGTTCGAGTACCGTGAATTGCTCAATAAATACTACTCCATCACAGGAAAAGAACACCCGTTACGAGAGAGCAATATTAACTCTAAAAGCGAGATACCACCGGAACAGATTATTACAACAGAAGACAGAGCAGGACCTAGTAAACTGCTTTCAAGAAGCAATTCCGTTAATGATGCCGGAACAACATCTGGACAATCTACCCCTGAAAGACGTTGCTTGGATAGTACGGAAGGAGAATCAAACATTCATTCAAGGGATAAAAATGATGTTAAAAGCGAAGAAAACCCAACTACGGAAGGGGGATCAAATATTATCGAGATATCGTCAGACGAAGAGTGGATTGAAGAAGTCGACGAGACAGGCTGCTGTGATAACATAACACGTACTAACAGATGTCAGGAGTTGCA